ATCCATTCCGAGATAAATCCAATCGGGGTTCTGGTCGACAGCAGCAGGAATCCAATACATTCCGGGATGAATCCAATCAGGGTCATGGTCGACAGCAGCAGGAATCCAATACATTCCGGTATAAATCCAATCGGGGTTCTGGTCGACAGCAGCAGGAATCCAATACATTCCGGGATGAATCCAATCAGGGTCATGGTCGACAGCAGCAGGAATCCAATACATTCCGAGATAAATCCAATCGGGGTTCTGGTCGACAGCAGCAGGAATCCAATACATTTCAGGATGAATCCAATCAGGGTCATAGTCGACAGCAGCAGGAATCCAATACATTCCAGGATGAATCCAATCGGGGTTATGGTCGACAGCAGCAGGAATCCAATACATTCCAGGATGAATTCAATCGGGGTTATGGTCGACAACAACAGGAATCTTATACATTCCAGCCTTATTTCAATCGGGGTTACTATCGACAACAACTGGACTTCAATCCATTCCGGAATGAATCCGATCAGGGTTATGGTCGAAAACAGCAGGAATCTAATACATTCCAGACTGATTCCAATCAAGAATATGGCCGACAACCGCTAGAATTGAACGCATTCCTAGACGACTCAACTCAGGATTACGGTCGACAACTGCAGATGTCTGATATAATACTGCCCCCATCAAGACAAGGTTATCGTGGACAGCTACAAGAACCTAACGTGTCCCTGACGCAATCCAATAAGGACTATGTTGCACCACAGCCGCAGACCGACGTGTTTCAGTTCGAATCGAACCCGGACTACAGTGAACCTCGGCAGCAATACGATGTCATCCAGCCCTCAATGAGACCAGTCTTCGGCCAACAGCAGCGGGAGCTCGCTGCATTGCGGCCGCAGTCGGCACGCGGCAGCGGCTACGATTGGCTACGGTCACGAGGCATGACGTTCGTAGTTGGACAGTCCGACAGCGGCACAGATCAGACGCCAGACAGTACTCGTCCCATCGACGTTCGTCCTGCCAACTCACACGCCAACAGCCGCGCCACCTCGCGGGGCAACGCGTCGCCCGCGAAAGTCGCCAGCTTCCACGTAGACGACGTCGCCGCCAACAGCCGCGCCACCTCGCGGGGCAACGCGCCGCCTGCGAACGTCGCCAGCTTCCACATAGACGACGTCGCCGCGCAGCCGTCGGCCGACCAGCAGCTGGTGGATCTATCGCGCGACGCGCACTCGTACGGCAGCGTGTCGGTCCTACGTCGCGCCGACATCGGTCGCGGCGTCGTCGGCACGCCGACGTTCCCGGACCACGTCGTCCTACATCAGTCGCAAGCCGTCGGTGCCGCCGTCATGTCGCCGTACATCGACAACCCGCGCGTCTTCACGCCGACGACGAGCCGCGGCGAGCAGCAGGCGCGCTGGGCGCCGAGCTACGACGACGACGCTCGCAGCCGACAGCAGCAGCCGACGGAGCAATCCGACTATGAGACGGAGGCGCCATCTTACGCTGCGGCGGCGCGGGCCGGCTAATCGACGCGACGTCGCTACTGCCGGGTGTAACTTGCTCATATACCTATTTAATGATCTATTCTTTCTAACTTTCATAAGGTGCGCGCACACACACCGCCGCGTGCACACGCACGCACGCACGTACGCACGCACGCACGCACGCACACACACACACACACACCCCCACACACACACACGGTTACACGTAGACACGCGCGCGTGTATACGCACACGCGCACGCGCACGCTCACCCATAGATACACCCTCGCACGGAGAAACATGCACGTGCCGAAACCTACGCGTACACCTTCATTCGCAGACGTACGCGCACTCGAGGGCACTCGCGCGCGTGCGTATAAACGAACGTATAGACGCATGCACACGCGTACTCGTAAACAGACGCACGATAGACATAAAAATGCATAGTCATACATGCACGCACGCGCATACATTCACTCACACGCACGCACCCCACACATCAGGCACACACAACACGGTGCATGCCTTCATCTCACGAGCCAATGCGCTGCGTTCGATTTTACTTCCGCGCCATCTTATCGCACTTACCTGCATGCCATCTAGAATATAAATTTGCGCTACTCGACTGGTTTTCAATGACGATGCATGCTCACGGAGCGTGGCCGCTGAGTGTCAGGCAGTGGTGGCTTTCCAGCACAGTCCTCTACGCTCGACGGAGAGGTTATAGTACTAGTAGTAGTAAACGCGGAAACGAACCGTCAGCGAACGAGATAACGATCAAACGGACTGCTGGAGATATCCCTACCGCGGCCGTGCAGTTATTCCTATATAACACCGATATCTCGTCATCAAATTCTATATCTTGTGGACAAAGGGCTAGCTGCCATAGTCAGGCGGGATACTTACAAGATTTCACGTATGAGAATGTAGGCGAAACAATGGGTTGCTCTGTGGAGTTGCTTGCAGGAATTTCAATATGATAGCATGCAATCAAAACAATACTCATGTCAGATTGGGTCTATGTGATTAACCGAGGAAAATACGTTAAGCACATTGCAATATTTTAAGTATTAGTATCTACAGTCACGGGCAGCTCGCGTTTCTCATGTTGATGCCAACGCTATGTGTGTGCGCGTATGCCACAGGCCCACATTCGCAGTTAACGCCATGGAGCTTGCGGTAATGTAAAAGTCCTACCTTTTCCTACTATTAGCTGCCGACAATTGCTATTGCTTTACTGAACTATATCTGCAATCTCCACAATCGCAAATTCGTATAGTGTTTTATTTGACAGCTGGTTGCAAGACCTGTCAATCATGGAGACGGTTAGAGGCGGATGGGCTATTTAATAGATACGATAACAATTTTTTAGTTGGTAGGTTTTGTTGGTAATAGTTGATAAAAGTTGGTAGATGCCAATGTTACGGCACCAATTCCGAGTAAGTTGTAGCCGGTTTTCTCGCGATTAATTTTTACATATTATATTCAGGTAATGGAGATTATTCGTCAGCCACTCCCAACTGTGTCTAGTGTTAAGGGCACTAGTTCGAGCTTCCGTGGCAGAGATAATCCCATATGAAAATATGAAATCTTATAGGTATTTATATGCACTATGGCCTAACCATCAATATACAAAATATAACTACATGTACATAGATTTTTACGTAGCATACTAGTTATACTGATCTTTATGCCGTTGACTAGCACTGCCTGAGTGAACTGGTCATGCTGAGAATTAAAATACCTCTAGACTGGATACATATTAGACGTTTTTAGGACAGTAGCAGCAGCAGCAGCAGCAATAGTAAACAAACGAATAAAATGTTCGCATAAGTTGCTTTGAATATAGAAATTGATATTTCACATGTTCAGCATGTATTTCGCATTTATATTTTCAATGCCCGCTCAGCTCTGGTTATGATCGTGTTTGAGCATCAATTGTTCTTCAGGCACAACGACATGGAATCAATCTATATCATAGTATATATAAATGTGACGTATTCGTGTCAATGTTACGACTATATATTATATAATTATATATATGTATATATTGCATGTTTCATTCATTACGATATCTGTTAGGACTAAGCGCGAATTGGCATTAAGCTGTTCTTTCGCGAATAAATTAATAACTTCAAATAAGAAACGAATAAATGGGTATTTTACCGAAAAAGCTACGTGTTTATTTTACATATAACTCAACATTGAATTGTCAAGCTTCTATAAGGTCTCACAGTACATGCATGACTGCATACATACACACCATACACGAGATGAAACAGAGAGTAAGCGATACAGGCTAAATATCGTCCATATGAAAACAAGAATAACCCTTATTAAAAGAAGACAAGCTTGTTAGTATGTACTATATGCTACAGGTTTCAAAACAAGGTGATAATTACAACGACTTGTCCAGTTAGTAGAGGCGCACTGCTATCTGATAATTTCAGCATCAGCAAGCATAATCGGTAATAACCTCCTACATCAATAAGATCAAATAAATCATAATAGAGCTGACCTAAATAATTGATTATTCACACAATCTCGTGTTGCATTCGAACCTCGTGATGAAAATACACTTCTTGAGACTTAGTATACCCAACATTTAACTAAATAATTAATAAATATGCAACCATGCACCACATGTTAAATAAGATAAATACCATCAGATCGAGCATTTACACAAACCAATATAATATCTGTTAGTTCTTTATCCCGTTTGATATACATTTCGATTCATTAGTTATTATTCAGTAATATGAATAATATAAAATAAATAAATATTGAACTGTATTTAAAGTAGAGAAGAGAAAATTAATATTATTCTATAGCATACCATTACCAACAAAACCACCATCAAGTTAGAATAAGTTAGAATAAATAATAAGGTGTGCAACAACGCCACCAAAGTTAACGCGTAAAAATATTTTATCCCCCAAATAACATAATGGAATTCGAATATTATTAAACCCAGCATACCAACTCGTCTCAAATGTCATTCATCTTACTCGCTATGATTTAGACGGGTATTTAGCATAATAAACACCCGTGAGCACGCGAGTGTCTGTACGGCAACGGGAATTATTATCTAATAAAGATTAAATAAATACACGGTCAATAACTTAACTGATCGTGAAATACATCAGGATGATTGTGCAAATACTACATTATATATATATATCGGGCTCTATTGTAACAATATAAATCGCATATATCATGAATAAATAATTTACACCGTATTTACAAAATTATATATATATATAAGTATCAACTGCTATCTTATGTACACTATTTCAACAGTATGCCTATTTTAATCAGCCTATTAATTAATCGGCTATTGATAATACGTAACGTGCGCGGCACGTTGAAGCAAATCAATACGACTTGCTAATTTTACATCTAGTCGTACCTACGTATATATTTTTTTGACATCTATTTTGGCAGTCAACCTGCTGATTGCATTTCACAAAAACGCGTGAAAGCTGCGTGTACACTCACCCGCACTCGGAGGAGACGCGGTAACGCCACCTAGCGGCAGCCGCAGCCGTCGACAATTATATCGTCCTACTATCGCAGCACGCTGTAATAGAGGATTCAGACGGGCAACAGCATCGTTGACAACTCCGCGGAGGCTTACAAGCGCCACCTAGCGGCAGCCGCAGCCGTCGACAATTATATCGTCCTACTATCGCAGAACGCTGTAATAGAGGATTCAGACGGGCAACAGCATCGTCGACAACTCCGCGGAGGCTTACAAGCGCCACCTAGCGGCAGCCGCAGCCGTCGACAATTATATCGTCCTACTATCGCAGTACGCTGTAAAAGAGAATTCAGACGGGCAGCAGCATCGTTGACAACTCCGCGG